CTCTTATATTAGTGTAGACAAACCTCAAGATTATTTAGTATTAAAGAATAAAAGTTTGTTGATTGCTAGCAAGTCCTTGATTTTTAAATCACATGCTAATAATTCTAAACTATAACATTGACTTTATATTTATTTTATATAAATTTATTTTTAATTTATTCTTAATTTATTTAAAATATTTCTTCTTGTATACAAATTCTTTGATACTCTGCTTTTCAAAGTAATAATTCTATGTTTGCTCAGTTATTCTATCCTTTCCAAACAATCTTTTTAAATTTAGCATTTAGTTATCTAGATTTCTAATCTAATACCACCCTCAGCAACCTTTGTTAATCTTTCAGTGTCACTTTACTGAGCAATAATGATTTTCTCTAAATCAAACAGCAATCAGTAGCAAAGGTCATAGGAATCTAGATACCTTAACGTCTCCTGTCCTTTATCTCAAATGTAGCATTTCTAAAAGTGTCACTTAGAGCGAGGGATAATGAAAATGAAAACATTACAATACAAAGCTCTACAAAGCAGAGTGGTTTCTACAAGCATGTGTGCAAGAGATTATAAAGAGAATGATGAGGGGCCGGCCCGGTGGCGCACTGGATAAGTGCGCCGCTTGGGAAGCGCGGCGGCGCTCCCGCCCGAGGGTTCGGATCCCACATACAGACCGGTTCCCGCTCACTGGCAGAGCGAGGCGCGGGAGCAACACCGAGGGTTGCAATCCCGTTGCCGGTCCCCGGTCCGGTACGGGGGCAACACTGAGGGTTGCAATCCGTTGCCAGACATGGAAAAAGACAAAAAAAAAAAAAAAAGAGAATGATGAGCAAAAGGCAATCATGATTTGTGAAGTAATTTAAGCAAGATGCTGATCTGATTATAGACATATATATTTGGGACTAAAAGACCTCTAAGTCAGGAAGGAAGAAAGGGAGGGAAAGGAGGAGGGGGAAAAAAAGAAATAGTTAATAGAGCCTCAGCCCACTTTCTTTTTTCATACAGTTAAAGTGCAAGAGAATCCTAAATACCCAAGGAGCCATGGATTTATTATTACCTAGTTGAGGATAACTCACAGGAACACAAAGCCAATGTGTCAAAGGAAGACGAGAACTGAGGATAGGAACAAGCTCAAACTGGAGGCCCCCTTCTATTTCTGTTCTCAAAATATGGTTCAAGAACTATCTACACCAGAAAAACCTGTGGTTTTTATTTAACAAGAATATCAGGAAGCCCCACCATCGACCTGAATAATCAAAACGTCTGGGAGTTGAGCCTAGAGTGTCACATTTTAATAAGAATATAGGTATTCTTAAACCCACGCAAGTTTGAAACACTTTTCCCTCATTCACCTTTGTCAATGGTTACGAAGTCAAGTGTTAGTTTAATTAAATTCTGCTTGCTCTAGCAAAGGCCTTCAAAAGGCAAATACTGCTTCAAGTATTAACTACTCTTAAGAAAGAGATATTCTGTGCCCTTATAGATCATTTTATCCTCTATGAAACTTACCACTGTTTTTCAAGAGACTGCAATTTAAAGCCTAGAGGTGGGGGATGAAAAGAATAGGATCGGAGGAAGGAGAAAGTCATGCAGAGAAAATATTTTCCTTGATTTTTTTTAATTACTCAAAATGGGAAAAGAAATTGCCCAACAAATTAGGAAAGAATAACATCTGTAGAGTAATACAGTATTAAGTACTAGAATATATACTCTCATTCAGTTATAACAGATTGGTCATTTACTTGTGTATGCCATTTAAGAAAACAGCTATGAAAAGCAAAAGTATAAATTTTTTAGTGAAGTAGAGGATTAGAAAGAAAATCACATACATTCTATGTTTTTATAATCCATATTAGGTTTAATATTACATAAAGCCTTTTAAAAAGCCACTCTCATGAATTAAAACTAAAAGATTTTTAAGAAAAGATTACCATTTGGTGCAGTGGGAGGTGACCAGATGCCATAATATTTGGGCAAATATTTTCGTAGCTCTAGAAGAACACCGTCACTACAATCAGCAGCATAAACCTGAAACAAAGACAAATATAACGTGTTAGTTTCTTATAATGTTTTATAACTGCCCTGTACATTTCTCAAATAGAATACAATACTACTGAATCATAATTTTTATCTGGTATGAGTTTCAGTTGGAAGTAAACTTGCAATAAGCAAAAAAGATTACTGTGTGTCTCCAATAAAAAACTAATGTGTTATTTAGAGCACACTCTTATTGGTTATCTAATTCTAGCCTTTCACTGTCCTTGAACTATTTTACAACAATAACTGATAGTAAATGCAAAATAATTCTTGTCCATAGACATGTAAGTAAATTCTGGCCAGAGAAGGTTCAACTGACTTCCCTCTACAGCCCATAGAGAATTTAGTGTCATATACAAACTCATTTCAACTGCTCTTCATTCCATACAAATTTGTGCTTCTTTGATTTCTCTTTTGAATCAGTTTTAACATTTGCCTGTTTCCCTCATTAAATAATGAGATTAATAAATCTTTGTATTTATTTTATATCTGTAACAGAATTGTGATTTTACCTTTTTTTCCAAAAATTATCCTTTAACGATAAAACATAAGTCTAATTATTGCCCACGTAATCCCTTGATTTATAATCATTAATAATTCTAGAAGATACTAGAAATTTCTAGATATCCTGGAGCTAGGTTCTAGTTTTGTTCCTAGGAGTGTAGTGGATTGAATTATGTTCCCCCAAAACTCCCTGAAGCTTGAATTGTATCCCCCACGTTCTAAATATTAGAAACTTAGCCCCCACTGTGACTGTTAAAGAGGGTGAGAAATCCTATTATGGTAATAGTAAGGTGAGGGCCTTCAAAGAAGTGATTGCATTGTAGGACTGTGCAGCAGTGAATCGATTAAAAATGGTGGTTAGAGGCATGGTTCTGAGGACTTTAAAAGAAGAGGAGAGTCTGTCTCTCTGCCCTCTCTCTGCTCTCTCTGCTTCTGCCATCTTGCAATATGAGACCCCTGGGTCACTGCTGCCACTACCAGAAGGACTTTGGACTTCCCAACCTCAGAAACTGTGAGCAATAAATTTTCCTTTTCTTTATAAATCACCCAGTTGAAGGTATTTTGTTATAAGCAACAACAACGGACTAATACAAGGAGAAAGAAAAAATATTTTTGTTTTAAAAATTACTTGTATGACATTTCATCCAATTAACTCTCTCTAAATATACTCTCCCTAATTATCTAACACCATTAGAACTCACTGGCATAAAATGTTTATGAAAGCTTAGTATTAGAATTCTAACTATATGTCAAACCATATTCATGTCAAGTAGCTGTATAAAAAATAATTCTACAGAATAAACTCAGCTGTGGCAGACTCACTAAACACCCATGTGGTACATTATTTCCCAGCTTCCCCTGTTAACATGTGAGTAGAAGTGATATTAGCCACTTCCAGGCTAAGGTAATTAACATCCCTCCATTCCTAGTACAATGACGGTAAAGGTTGAATGTTTATGATTTAATTACAAATTGGAGGAATGAAGTAGATCTCCATGTACTGACCTAAAGAAGTCCATGATATACTTATAAGTAAAAAGGATAAAAGTCATGTTACATACAAATAGCAGGTCATAGAATTAAATAAGAAATGTACAAGTATGTATCATCTCTGTAAAAGCCCAACGAAAATTATAAGTATGCTCTTAAAACTATTCATAATTTAGTTCTGAGATGGAAATGGAAGAGTAGAGAAATAAACTTTCTCTTCTTAAAATATTTTTGTTAAAAGTACTAGTGAGTGGGACTGGTGTTTACTGCAATACTCCAGACAAGATAACCTAAAAACCATTCTAGGTAGAAATGTAGAATAAAATATAACAAATACTTCCTCAAATGCACAGCTGAGCTCCCAAGGAAAAAAGGAAACTCACAGGCATGTAAAACTAAGAGGAAACAAAAATTGTTAAGCTGAACAGTGATGTTTGGGCTTCACAGAGGAGCACTCTGAAGACTTGAACCAAAGGATCTCAACTCTAAAACCAGGGAGATCCGAGGGTAAAATTACTACACTGAAATGTGAAGAATAAATAAAATTCTAAATACTTAACAGTTATAACCTTGGCTTCCCCCAATCACTACACTCAAAGAATGCTGGAAACCAAGCTGACTGAGAAACAGTGAGAAGCAGCAAATAAACAACATTAGGAATAGAAATGAAGTCATTAGTAGATACAGCAGAGATTAAAAAAAAAAAAAATACTATGAAGAACTTTGCCAAGCGGGCAATTTTTATAAAAAAAAAATATATAAGCTAACTACATTAAAAAGTAAAAAAAATTGAAGGCTTTTAAAAAACTGAATCACTGGTTAAAATCTATTCCTTCCCAGGAAAAAAGAATAGAAAGGAAGAAAGGATAGAAAAGAGGATAAGAAGAGAGAAAAGGCAGAGAAGAGAAAGAGAGAGAATGACAGACAACAGTTGCTCTGATGAATTTATAGATAAATTCTATCACAGCTTTAAGGAACAAAATCCNAAGTCATTAGTAGATACAGCAGAGATTAAAAAAAAAAAAAAAATTTGAAGAACTTTGCCAAGCGGGCCATTTTTATAAAAAAAAAAAAAAAATTTGAAGAACTTTGCCAAGCGGGCCATTTTTATAAAAAAAAAAAATATAAGCAAACTAAATTAAAAAGAAAAAAAAATTGAAGGCTTTTAAAAAACTGAATCACTGGTTAAAATCTATTCCTTCCCAGGAAAAAAGAATAGAAAGGAAGAAAGGATAGAAAAGAGGATAAGAAGAGAGAAAAGGCAGAGAAGAGAAAGAGAGAGAATGACAGACAACAGTTGCTCTGATGAATTTATAGATAAATTCTATCACAGCTTTAAGGAACAAAATCCTTTTCTGATACTAATTCTTCAGCAAAATAGATAAGGCAATGCTCCCCAACTCACTTTATGAAGCTAAAAGAAACTTGATATCAAGACCAGATAAGGACAATATGTCAAAAAATATAATATTTCAATCTCATTTATACACATGGCTGGAAAAAATCTTAAACACTAGCAATCAAAACATAGCAATGCATATTATTAAAAAACAAATAAAAAGACATGTTCGAGTAAGTTTTACTCCTGATATGAATGGTGATGTTAATATAGAAATCTGTTATTGTACTTTACCACATTAACAGATTAAAGAGGGAAACTCATACATCTATTTCAACAGATACAACAAAGGTAGCTGAAAAATATTCGATAACCATTCATGTTTCAAAATGTTTAAAAAACAGAAAATGCCGTTTAACTTCCCTTTTCTCCTCCACCCTTTTCCACCCAAGAGGCTGATTTGAGTCAACTACATCAATGGGGACCATTGGTCCCTTGCCCTCTTGCCTTTGGAAGACACCAGCAAGAGACTGGAGAGTAGTAAAGTTTAAGTCAGGTTTTTTACTTCTCTTGCTCCCTCCTTATCAGGTCATGTCCTCTCGTAAAGTTACCTTCCCTGGGTTCTTTTTTTTTTTTTTTTTCTTTTTTTCTTTTTTTTTTCGTGACCGGCAACGGATCGCAACCCTCAGG